ATGATTATGATTGATGATCATGCAACATCAGCTAGCAAACGATACTGTTAGTTAAACCATATTTTGTAATTGGTTTGGTAACTTTTTTTACGTTTTTATTGTTTTCACATGCAATGCGTATCTTCTAAACAGACAGACGTCTCACAATCTTTTTTCAGTTTTCATCAGTTAATTATTGCTTTATCAGAGTAGGGATCTTTATTTCTGACCATTGTTGGGGTATTGGTTGAAGAGTGTTGTAATTGGGTTCTTGAATTTAATATTTTGATCTATTAAATATATATATATATATATCTTCATTTGTTACAACTTACGAGAGAGAAGAAGGGAAAAGAGAAAGTGACTTTTCTGCGTATATGCTTTATACATTCAATTCAGTGGTGCATTAATAGTACCTTCATATGCATTACTTGTAATTTCAAGAAAAATACTTTGTTGTATTGTATACAGCGCATAACATTTGGTCAATCAAAAGAGCTAAGTCGCTTGTTCTTTGGAAGTCATAATTTCATTCCTAACTTTATCAGCGCCTGCACTACACACTACACACTACACACTACACACTACACACTACATGCTATGACAGAAAAAGACAAAAAGAAAAAAGCACCCCTCTTTTTCTTAGAAGCTTACCCTTATTTTGTCTTGGTTCTGAGACTGATTTATAAGCATGCATGATTATGTTAGAACTTAGATTAGATGGCAGCCTTGATTAGGGTTATAGCGGCCCATAGTTAAGAAGACTAAATTAATTAATGAAGGACAGGAGCAGTGTTGGATTGGATTCCATACGTAGAAAGGCAAGTTAATTTGGTGGATTAAGTTATGTAATGTGGGGGTTGGGACCCTGTTGCTAAATGATAGGAAAGCTCCTTTCAGTTTCAGAGATGCTGACCTACATATACTTGAAACCAAATTGAATTAATGGGGAGAGAAAAAGATAGAGAAAGAGGGTACTGTCAACTGTGTGAGAAAGATGGGAGGTCGTTTTCAATGCATTTGTAATCCTTTTAAAGGCTATTTTAAAAAAAAAACAAGAGAGAGAAAAAGTGAAGACCATGTTTTTCAGTGCCACTGTTGGAATTGTTACGCTCAGGCACTCGTCCCTGTCAAACATAAACAACACACACAACTCAATCACTCATGTGTGTGTATGTGGTTATATTTACACATACATACATACATCTATATATAACTTTATCAGAGTCAGCTGCGCAGCGGCAGGGCAGCACAGTGCCTTTTCATTAATTTTATAGGCCCAATAACAAGGAGATGAGAGCTGAAGGAAGACCCAAATTTAATGTTAAAGATTTTCAGAAAAAGTGCGTGTGGTTGCTGATTTTCTTACACCATTCAAACCAAAGCAAAAAGCCAACTCAAACCAAAGCTGCTCCAAAAGGATGTCCATTTATCGCTCCTCTCTTCTTACCTTTGCTTTTCTTTGTCTCTCTCTTTGTCTCTCTCTCTTTCTATCTTTCTCTCTTTCTCTCTTTCTCTCTTTCTCTCTTGGGGCCACGTGCACCTCTTTCCCACCTTTTAATGTTGCCTTACTTTTCATGGATGATGTCTAGTGGATTGGCTAGCTACCGTATCCAGCCCCATATGGTTAGCACAGACAAGGAAGGGAGGCTTTCTTTTCAAAATTTACCTCTTGCGTGTTACGGGCATCTTCCATTTTCAATTTACTTTTTATCCTTTCACAGTTCACCCGCTAACACTACGAATATCAACTTTCATTCTTTATCTTGGTGTTCAAATCAAAATCTCTAATGAAATTTTTTTTAAAAATATATAAATTATATGTAGCCTAGCCTCTGACTAGTCAAAGTTTTATAAGAGAGAGAGAGCCCTTGAAATGAAGGGAATTACCTAAAATTTGAATAAAGATATTTGTTGTACTGTATACAAACGAAGAGAGCACTGTATATAAAGAAGAGAGGTAGCATCTTTAGATAAATAGAGACAAAACCTTTTTCCGACATCAAACGTAGGGTAGCGAGTGGATGGAACTTTCCATTTCACCTTACAGCAAGTCAGATATTAAAGAAAGAAAAAGAAGAAGAAGAAAAAAAGTAATTACAAAAAATTTCATAAAGTTAGCTAAAGTCACTGTTCGTTTGCCTTTGCCCACTCAAAAAGTAAAACTAAAACTTAATGTAGGACGAATATGTATATTCCCTACATACAAAAGTTGGGGGGAAAAAAATATCTTTCTTCATCCACATATATCCCCAGCAAGAGATGAAAAAACAAAACCACCCTACTCTGGAAAGGGTAAACCTATAGTTCAAGGAGATTCCATTACACTTACACAAGGCACAGGTTCCGTGGATATTTAAATTAATTGTTCAAGACATACATGAATTACTTCAAGGTTTTCAACCAGTTCGAATTCGTCATACCTATCGAGAAGCAAATATGATAGTAGATACGCTGTCAAATAAAAGACGTGAGGTCTCTTCTAATTGTATATGGCTCGGTAAGTTTCCCAAGGAAGGAAGTCAATTTTAGAATACAATTGTGATGAAATTAGCTTCAGTCAACCACTACATTTGTATAGCGCAGAGTGGACCATCCTCTGCTTTTTATGCATATTGGTGATGGGGGCAGGAAATAATATCATGCGTGATTGGGTTAATGTATTGTAGCAGTGTAGGCATGGCATGGCATGCAGGGACGGATTTATTTATGTAGATGGGGTCTAGTCTTCGTCTTGATCTATCACTCAGTGCTAGCTGCAGGGCACCAGCATTATAATCTTGCATCTCAATAAATTATCATCATTCATTCATTGTACAGTACCTACAGATTCTTTTTTCAATCTTATAATTTTTTTGGCATGAAATCTGTTCAAAATTGATCTATAAATACTTGATGATATGAAATTCTGCTCTCAGCCTCTCAAAAACCCAAGTTGGAGCTGGGTCAGATTCTAAATCAATTTAGACCCAACCCAAGTTTGAAAAATCACAACTTGAGCTCAAGCTAGCCCAAGTTTTCAAATAAACAAGCCCAACAAGATTTTGAGCTTGCCCAAGTGGCTCTGTTGTGTGGACTGGACTTCGGGAATTTGTTTGAATGTTTGACATGCATATATACATACAGGGATATGTGACTCAAACTGAATTGAATAAATAAAGGGGCATTTATAGTAGAATTAAGATCAAGTTCCGGTTTCAGTCTGATTGACGGTCACAGTGGTGTTGTTTACTTGTTTTGTTTGTTGGGGAGGGGTAGGGGCAGTGCCGAAGATGAAGATGACATGATGGATGATGCTCCGATGCAAAAGAATGCCATGAGTAGGAAGCTTGCGGAGAGATTTGCCAGGTTGAGGAAGTTGTCAACTTTTGATAGATAGTCATCTGACGAAAGATGCGCAAAACTAGCATCCATGTTATGCTTAATATCAGAAGTAGCACCAAATCCTGCACCTACTCCCGTTGCTAACGGGGATGATATAACCTGCATGCAATGCAAGTGCAACCATCCAACAATTAATATTAATTATAAAACTCAGAGAGAGATGATGGAGAGCTTAATTGACCAACCTTGTCACCATAAAATTCAATCAGAACAAGACTGTGATGTGTAGGCCAGTCCAATCACAATCATGTACCTGCAGCATATACATATGTTAATCAGAATCAGACAGACGTTCACAATTATTATAATAAAAATAATAATCCTGAAAGGAAAGGGTAATTAATTAAGAGAAAGAGATCAAAGAGAGGGAGACACTGGTACGACTTGAAGTCCTTGAACCCAATCTTGACATGCAATGCAAGGCATGGTCAGTATTTGAGTCAGCTGCAAGGACGATGAGAGAGGTTAGGAGGAAAATCAGGCACAGGACTCTCAGAACAAGCGCTGTGATTGCCTTCAAATTCAATGCCATGGAATTTAACTTTTTTGGGTTGGAAATATGAACACACTATTAATTGTGGAGTTCGATATTTATTTTTTTTAAAAAGAAAAGGTAAAAAAGAGAGCAGTCAACAATAAAGCTAGCTATTGTCTCTTGATTGTGGCGTATGGACACAACTCATGTTGTTTTTGGTTTTGTAATCAAATGGGATAATTAATCAATTAATCAAGGAAATAGGAGGAGGTGATGTTCCGCTAACTAAGGTACTTAAATTTTTACTTTAGGCAGTAAATATATTGGCTTCAACCAAGAGTTACATTACTTTTTACAGTGACTAAAAAGACAGCCACTATTGTCCCTTAAATTTGCTTGGCTCTTCTTACAACAAATAAAACTTTGATACTTATCAAATTCCAAATAAAAAAGTTAAAGAGTTGGCAATGGAGAAATGCGTTAGATTGCATTAGGAATGAACCGTTAATATACTATTAATTTTAAAAAAGGATTAATCGTTTTATTAGTCCTTGAATTTTAACCCGATTTGCATTTGAGTATCTCAATTTTCAAAATGGTTCCCGAGGTCCTTTAACTTTAGTTTCGTTTGGACAAATGGTCATGCCGTCAATTTTGTTAAATTTTTATGTTAAATGTAGGGGCAAAATTGTATTTTTATATTCAAACAATAAAAGAAAATCAAATAAAAAACCCAAAAAAAAAAAGTTTTGGGGAAGTAGAAATCGGGATAGAGGGGGAGAGAGAGATTTAATTTTTTAGTTTTTAATTTTTTTAATTCATATTTTAAGAAATTTTGATACAAAAATACCATTTTGCCCCTACATTTAACAGAAAAATTAACAAAATTGACGGCAAGATCATTTATCTTAACGAAACTAAAGTTAAAGGACCACGGGAACAATTTTGAAAATTGAGGTACTCAAATACAAATCGAATCTAAATTTAGGGACTAATAAAACGATTAACCCTTAAAAAAATTAAAATTCGGCTTGAAATAGGCCCAAGACATGGCGGGCCTACACCTTGACCTTTTTCCAAACCCGAATACCCGACTTAATGTACTAACTTTTATGATCAAAGTTCTTATTAGCCCAGTAAGTTTTGCAAATTCTAGGCCGCTATGCTCTATTGCTTGCTTCCAATTAGCCAGTGGTCAACATACAACATGTATAGCTAAAGAAGAAAGTAACGATTTGCAGAGTAGGTACAACAAAATCATTAATATCCATCTGAGCAACAAATCTTACAAACATTATATTCTTACAATGATGATGATGATGATACTGATAAACGTACAAGAAACATACTCCCCCTCCTCCCCTGTTTCAACTTTCAAGCACTATTGCTGCTTCCATTTGTTGATCCAGGCATCAGCTCTCTTAGCATGGCCACCACCTGCAACATGTTAGGCCTCTTAGATGGGAAGTCATCTACACACTGCAGTGTTATCTCCAAATACCTCACCATCTCTTTCACTTCTTCAGCTTCTGCTTCATCAGTTCCTTTGGTTACTGAAAGCAACTCTAGGTCTATCACTTCCATCTGTTTCCCTTCTCTCACCTTCATCTTCGCCCATCCCACCAAGTTTGTGTCCCCAAAATCCTCCTTGTCTGTTGGGCGTTTTCCAGTCACAAGCTCCAACAGGACAACCCCAAATGAGTAAACGTCGCCTTTTGCAGTGCACCGGAAACTTTGGTAGTATTCAGGTGGAACATAACCAGGAGTGCCTGCGAGAGTGCTTACGCTTAAGTGGGTGTCAAGAGCACTTATGAGCCTTGCCATCCCAAAATCAGAAACTCTAGCTTCCATTTCATTGTCCAACAACACATTGCTTGACTTCATGTCTCTGTGTATAATGTGAGGGATGCAATTGTGGTGGAGGAAACAGAGTCCTTTCGCTGCACCTCTTGCAATCTTTTTCCTTTCCTCCCATGTTAGAATCCGCCTGTCACGTGTCTTTGTTCTTCCATGGAGCATTTCTTCAAGGCTTCCATACTCCATGTACTCGTATACTAGCAGCCTCTCTTCACCAATTTTGCAATAACCCAGTAAGGGCACAAGATTCCTGTGCTTGATCTTACCCAGAGTTTCCATCTCGGCCATGAATTCGCGGTCACCTTGGCAGCTTAACCGTATAAGTTTCTTGATTGCAACACTTGTCCCGTCTTTCAGCGTTGCCTTGAACACTTCTCCAAAACCTCCACACCCTATAAGACTATCTGCTGAGAAGCCATTGGTTGCCTCAATGAGTTGGGAGAACTTGAGCTTCCTCAGCTGTCTTTGGAAAGTTGCAACATTAATGCTCAAGGGTTCTTTCTCTTTGTCAATTTTCCATGTGGTGGCTGCATGGGATGCTTGCAAGCGATTAAGCATCTTCACCTCCTTTGCTTCCTTTCGCCTTGTGCGCATGGCAATTGCCCACACAATCAGAACACAGACAGAAGCAAGAGAAATCAGAACCCCCAAGACAATGCTATTAGCCCATGATGCCACCGATGGCCTTCGTCTTCCTTTGCCTGCATCCTGGTCACTTGGAGTGGTGGCTTGTTGGTCATTGCTGCTCTGGCACTCAGGTAATGGAACCCCACAGAGTCCAGGGTTGTTAGCATACTGGGTAGCAGGAAGTGTACTGAGCTGCCCTCTTGTGGGAATTTCGCCAGTTAATTCATTGCTGGACAGATCAATTTGAACCAAGAAAGATAGGTTGGAGAATGAATCAGGGATATGACCCTGCAGTCTGTTATGTGATGCATCAAACACTCCTAAATCTTTGAGCTTGCCAAGTGATGCAGGAATCTCACCTGATAACTGGTTGTGGGATAACTCAAGAACTTGTAATGCAATCATGTCCCCCATTTCTTCTGGGATTTTCCCACGCAGCTGATTGTAAGAAAGATCAAGATACTCCAGCGTTTGGTATTTTGTAAAGAGACTCAGGACTGCGCCAGAGTACAATCTGGTGAAATCACAAGTCTTCAGTGTTGGGTCTTCTAATAAACCTCCTACTCCTTTACAAGAATTACCAATATTCCGTACAAACACCAAAGTATTGCCAGAGAGAATTCCGCTCAGGGATTTGGCCCCAAGCTGCCTCCCAAGTCGAGGTGGGATCTCTCCAGTGAGTCTGTTGCTGTTCAAATCCAACCAAACTAAACTGCTGCAATTGGCCAGTTCTCCTGGTATCTGCCCACCCAAGCTATTGTTCCCAAGTTGCAGAACAGCCAGTCTTGTCAAAAGGCCAAATTCTTTTGGGATTTCGCCACTTAGTTTATTGCTTGTGAGTGATATCCATTCGAGGTTACTGCATCTGAACAGTTCAACTGGGATCTCACCAGTTAGGCGGTTATTGTTGAGAATAAGATCCTTGAGATTCCTGCAGTTTCCCAAGTCTGGTGGGATTTTTCCCTCTAAGCCATTGTACCATGCTATTAGCTGCTGCAAATTCTCCAGCTTCCCAAGCTCAGCTGGAATTGAGCCATTGAGATAGTTTAAACTGAAATCAATTGTCTTCAGCTGAGAACATTGTGATAGTTGAGCAGGGATTTCTCCAACAATGAGGTTGTCTGGCATTCTCAGCTCCTGGAGTGAGGAGGCTCCTGGGCATATGTCTGGTGGGATGACACCAGATATTTTATTAGAGCTCAAGTCTATAACCTGTAGACTTTTGCAAGCTGATATGGAACCTGGAAGTGATCCAGTGATGATGTTGTTACTCAACAGCAAGCTCTCTAAGGAGCTGAGATTCTGGAAGATAGAATCTGGTAGGGGACCTGTTAAATTGTTGTTAGACAGATCAAGAAGTTCCAGCACAGAACATGAGGAAAAAGTTGCTGGAATTGGACCAGTAAAGTTGTTATATGAAAGCTTAAGTTCGACAAGTGAAGTGCATGCATTTCCCAACTCGGGAGGTATCCAACCAGTGATCTGATTGTGAGAAAGGTCCAATCTCTGTAAACTGGTGAGTTGCCCAAATGATCTTGGGATTTCTCCTGTCACATTGTTGGATGATAAACTCATAGTTTTGAGACTGGTGCAGTTTGCCAGAGACATAGGAATGGAACCCGTTATACGGTTTCCTGACAAATCAAGCTGCAGCAGAGAAGGGCAAGAATATTTCTCAATTTGCAAACCAGAAATTGGCCCGGTTAGATTGTTGTAAGAAAGGTCGAGAGTCTGAAGTTTGTCAGAATTCAATAAGAGATCTTTGGGCAGAGGACCTGTCAAATTGTTGAAAGCAAGGTTTACAAAGACGAGGTTTGGACACTTCGAGAAAAGATTCTCAGGAACAACACCAAAAAGTCCATTGAAAGATAAATCAAGCTGTTTCAAAGCATATGGGAGCTGAAGCAGAGAGGTAGAATTTACACTGAATGAATTTGTTGGCAGTTTTAAGACAGAGAGCATATCTAGAGAAGCCAAGGGATCAAAAGAGATTGTCCCCACAAGGTAACACCCGGTGAGATCGAGCTGAGTTGCTCGGCCCATAGAGCACGTAACTCCATGCCAGGTGCATGGATTCCTGCCAAGCTGCCAATCTTTCAAAACTCCATTTGGGTCCTTCTGAATCATCTTTTTGAACGTGAGAAGAGCTTCTGCATCAGTCTTGATCGACGAAACACTTTGTTCAGCTGTAGAAACAGAAACAAGGTCTATTAAGACCAGTATTACAGAAAGATGAAGAAAAAGCTGAACTGGATTAATGCTCTCCATTGATGAAACAAGTTTCAATTCTCAGGAAGGCAATTGAGAGAGAGAGAGAGAGAGAGAGAGAGAGAGAGAGAGAGAGGGAGAGAGAGTGTAATGTGTAGAGTGAGAGAGTGGTGACTATGATGAGAATTTGTTGTGGCAAAGGAAAGGGGAACCTTAGCTTTAGGAAAAGAAGTTGCTTTTTGTGTTTTATAAAATGAAAAGGATGGAACGTGGGAAGGAATAAGAAAAGAAGGGAATTGGATTGAAGTTGGTGGTGGGTGTATACTTATACGGTTTCTGAGTACCATGAACTGTAGGGAGAGAGACAGAGGGGAATGTAGCGAGGGGTTGATTTGACTTTTGGTCAAAAGGGGTAGGATCCACATACACATTCCAGAGACAAGTTCTATCTAAGATCGGCGCTATATTAGTATATATATAGCGAAAAAATAAATAATATTCGGGTGTGCATGATCAAGGGTCACTTTTCTGTCAGTGAGCGTGAGAATGTTCCCTATTAGGAATGTGATAAGATACACTGTGTGGGGATTTTACAATGCGCAAAGAAAAGAAGTCACTTCCCCATTTGAACAACTCATACTTGTCTCTGAGTCACAGTCATGCTGCTGCCGTGCTGCATGCATTTCATCCACTACTTGCTTGGTTTATTAATATTTCTAGGAAGTACGATCTGTTGATAATTGTTTAAGAAAACACTTTTAACTTCCAAATGGTTGCTCTATTTGGTTTTGGTTGGTTACATGACCCAATTAAGATTCATTTCATTCCTTGAGTTCACCTGTACTGTATTTGGCTGAATGGTTCCATTTTCTCTTTTCAGTTCCACTCAAGGTCATCATTTCCTTTATTTTTCTTTATTTATAAATTAAAAACTGAAATCTTGCCCCTGCTGTATTTATGGTTGTCTGAACATGATGTAGAATAAATGACTGAAGCGATAGAGGCAAAACCGTCAAGCTCCAACTCCTTTTCTATCGCTTTAGCCATCTGTTCTACATTAGAACAACTTTGGTAGATCATACCATTTTAAGCCTTTTGCTACATTTCCATGGCATGCATGCACTCTAGTTTGAAGTTTGAACCCATTTTGGTGGTAATATAATCAATATCCAAAATCGACTGAGAGTCAAATTAGCCATAGTTGAGCTTGATGAGGAGCATAAAATCCTAACTAAATCAATGTGATTGATTCTGAATATTGATTATTGACCTGTACAGATATTTAGTTTATTTCCTTTCTTTTATATAAACGTGTACATTAATGAATAGCTCATTTAGGCTAGTTTTCAGCATCTTAATTGGCTATTGTATTTGTATAAAGGTTTTGTACCTCATTCTGAAATATTATCAATATACGAATTACCAATTCTATTATGGTATCAGAGCCTAAGGTTACCAATAATCCTACACAAACTCAAACCCTTGGCAATCAACGACAGTGAATCACCTCAAGCCTCGGCCAAGCCTAAGCAACCCAAGTATGATGATCCTTGCGGCAACAATGACTCTCAAGGTCATCGGTGGTCTTTTTCTCCTTCGGTCCATCATGTTGACACCACTCTTGTGGCCACCGCAGCTCCCCCATCACACAAGCTCATTGCAGCACAATAATAGAGCTTCCTTGCTCTCCTCAATCAAAACAAGCCCAGAGTTTTGGCTAATCATGTTAGCACTGCTTCCAGCACTAGTGATCTCTCGGGTAACACCTTTTGTGCCTCTGCTTTCGTTGGTGGACTCAATTGGATTTTTGATACTGGGGCCACCGATCATATGGTTTGTTCGCCTAAGTTGTTGACTACATGCACTCTAGTCTCTAATTGTCAAGTGTACCTTCCTGATCATGCCCTTGCTAATGTGACCCATATTGGCACTATCCGTTTCTCAGATGATTTTATTCTTCATATTGTGCTTTGTGTTCCCTCATTTAGATTAAATCTAATCTCTGTCAGCAAGCTCACCAAAAGCTCTTCTTGTATTGCAATGTTTGCTAATAAATTTTGTATTGTTCAGAACCAACGTTCGGGGAAGATGATTGGGACAGGAACTGAGAGGAAAGGTCTCTACTATCATGATACTGCGAAGACAACTGGGTGCAATTCTGTTTCAACAGTTGTTCCTTCTTCTTCTCGACTTTGGCATCAACACTTTGGTCATCTTTCAAATAAAAGCCTACGTGC